CATATCATACGTGCACAGCACACATGTGCACACACAAGCATGTACATATACATGTGTAAGCACAGCATATACCTAACATGTACACTGCATGGATATGCACATAAATATATACATGTACACGTATGCACATGGAAATACATGTGTGTGCACACAGCTGGCCGCAGCTGTTCCTGGAAAGTCCAGGGAGGCCTGGGGCAGGAAGGATGCCGGCCGGCCCCCAGGTCACAAGGAAGGCTGTGGACAGGGTAGAAGGCTTAGCCCTGCCTCGGCTACGCAGACAGGTCACCCTGCAGATTTACTGACCAGAGAGCCGGGGCCGCTGTCCACTTCACAGGCCTCAGATTCCTGGCCCCCCCCACACACACATCTTTTCTGGGAGGATTTCATTTACAGAAAACTAAAGTTTCCAGGAAGATGAATTTTTATTGAGTGAGGTCATAGAGCTTTGGCCTTTGGCCATGTCCTGAACCTTCTCTGAGACTCATTTTCTCCATTTATACAAAGAGAGGGATGGACAGGGTGATCTCTAGGGTGTCCAATGCCTGGCACCTAGTAGGGGCTTGCTTGATGGCTTGACTTCCAAGTCCTCCAGTGGATGAAATCTGGAGCCTCGCCTAGAACAGAACCTCAGGGACGCTGTTTGTCCTTAGAACCCAATTTCTGGATTTGTTCTGTCTTGGAGGCGGAAAGGGGGCTGCCCTTCACCCTCTTCCCCACACTGGGATTTCATTAGCCTGATGTGGGCGTCACAACTTGCTGAGCCCCTGACTGTCGTCCCCCTTTCCCATCAGGGCGATGGCCACACCCAGCCCCAAAGGTCCAGGGAGGACCCCTCCTACTCTGGCTCTGACCCCATGGCTTATTCCCTGCCATCCTTCATGGAGAGCCTGTGGCTTGGGTGGGAGGGATTGAGAGGGGAGAAGCAGAAGGCCTAGGGGGACTTCACAGATTTTGTGATATGATGCAGGTATGTGTATGTATGAGTGTGTGTGCGTGAGTGTGCATGTGAGTGTGTGTTAGAGCATGACAGACAACAGAACTCATGGACCAGATGTGAGAAGCCGTCTAGGGTTGCCCTCTCATTTTAGAGGGAAACCGACTGAGGGGAGGATGGGGGAGGGGAGGAGAGGAGAGGGCCTCTGTGGGTGGGGTCATCCGAAAGCTGACCCTGAGCCCAAATGCTCTCCTCGGCCCCATGATACATCTGCTGCTCTCTCCTCCTCAGGGCATCCCTCCGTGGCCTGGGTGCTCCCCACTGCCAGACATGAGGAGGGGCCCAGGGAGGGGAGGAGGGGAGCCCCTCAGCTATTCACTAGGGTGCTGGCCAAGCTCTTATGAAGACATCGTAGGCCCTATAGAAATGCTAGTATCCATCATTATAGATAAGGAGTAAGTTTTGACAGAAAATTTGGTTAAGCACCTACTATGTGCCAGGCACTATGTCGGGCATATGAAGACGAAGAGAAGAACCACCTGCCCTCAGGGAGTCTGCACTCTGCCGAGGTGCAGCGCCTTGTGGCGGATGAGTCAATATCACTTGTAGACAAGGCCAACGCCAAGGCGCTTTGGCGCCAGGTAAGGGGTCAGTGATGGCTCTGGAGCTGGGCCCCGGGGAGGGAGGACCTCTCCCTGGCAGAGGTGAGGAGGGAGACCGCACCAGGCCTCACTCGAGGGGGCCAAGACTCCTTCCACAGTGGCTGGCTGTCCCTCTCCCCCCTCGATGCCTGCTGCAAATGTGGGCTTTTCCAAGCTCCCCTTCCAAACTCCGCTGCCGCTGGACCCGCTTCTTGGGATCAGGCGGTCACTCCTCAGGGCTGCGGACAGACCCCAGCGCTGCCGGCCTCCAGGAACCCAGAAGGTCTTAGCTGTCTCCAGGATGCCTTCACCCAAGGGCAGGGAAGGACAGAGGGGCCATGAGGGACCCAGCAGCGGGCCACCCCACCCAGACTACACCGTGACCAGGAAATAGAGATGGAGGGAGGGTCTGTGGTTGGGCCTGTGGTAATCATAGGCTTCTGTATCCCCAGGGCCTAGCACAAGGCCTGCACATAGTAGGGGCTTAATCACGCGTTAAGCAGGCTCACCAAGCTTCCACGTGCCACCAGGCAGAGTGTGTGGACCGTGCTCCTAAGCTGGCCTTTGGACCCTTGTTACAGAAGGAAAGCATTCCAGGGTGAATGTCAGGAGCAAAGGTGTGGAGGTGGGAATCTGCCCGGCGGGTGCCTGGAGGGGCGAGAGAGCTGAGGAAGCAGTGGGAGGGGCCAGGCTGTGGCAGGCCACGAATGCTAGGACCAGATCCCCCAGAAGGACGTTCTTGCCTCAAGCTTCTCCTTCCTCAGGCCCGCTGTCTGGTCCATTGATTTCTCCCTGGTGGGAGCTCTGCCCGGGCTATCTGCCCTAAGTCCTGGGATCGATAAATGAGTAAACATGTCCTCCCATTGGCAGCTCCAGCCTGGGCTTGGCAGAACAGAAGAGGGGGGACCCTGGGCTGCCCTTCCCTGTTTTATTGGGGAGGGGACCCCGGGCAAAGGAAGAAGCCCTGGGCTCCTCTTCCTGGGAGACTGCCCCATGCAGCCTCTTACACCCCAGCTGACGACTGTCCCAGCGGCCAAGGTGAGCCTCAGGGGCCACTGGCCTGGTGATGGAGGGGGTGGCCCCTTCCAGGGCCCAGGCACGGTCACTTCCACCCCTGTCGAGAGAGGCTCCCAGGAGGCTCTGCCCTGCCTGGTCTTGGGCATCATTCACTTTTGTCTTAAGCCCCTGTGTGCCTGGCACTGTGCCTGGTGGACACAGATCAGGGTGATACAAGATAGGGAGAAAGTCAGCGAGGGGGGCAGAGGTGAAGCCAGGCAAAGCACTCCAGGAATATGATAAGTAATAATAATGATAGCTGACATTCACACAGCGCCTACTGTGTGCCAGGCTCTGTGTGATCCTCACAGTCACCCTGGGAAGTGGCTGTTACCATGATACCCATTTTACAGATGAGGAAACCGAGGCCAGCAGAGGCTGAGTGACTTGCCCAGGGTCACACAGCTAGTAAGTGTAAGGTCTTCCTGCCTCTAGGCCCAGTGTTCTGGGCACTATGGTGCCACCTGGCCGCTCAAGAAAGATCACTTTCATCCTTTTATGAAGGGGATTTTTTCTGTGAAGCTTGGATTCAGTCAAAGGGCCATGCTAGAGGACTTAGAGGGCCACTCTGAGGCCACCCCTGATCTCGGGGAATCAGAGAGGGCTTCACTGAGGAGGCAGCCCCTGAGCTGGACCTCAAAGAATGAGGATTTCAGTAGGTGGGAGATGAAGGGAAGACTGTCTGAGAAGAGGGGAGAGGGCAGGACAAGCTCTGGAAATTTCACCAGTCTGGGCCTCAGTTTCCTTCCTCAAGGGAAATTAAGGCAAACTGAGGCCCAAGTTCTAAACACCATCAATTTATTAGCAAAGCTTGAATTTCCCAAAACCAGGGTCTCCTCCAGAGACTAGCCTTGTGGTGGGGAGGACAGCACAGTTGTCTGCAAAGTCAGAAGCATCCTAGGCTGGGGAACAATGTGATTGACAGGCCCTCAGGAAGGCAGGCTTAGCAACACCCTCCCCTTCCATCTTGTAGCTAGAGATTCTGATGGAGGGAGTCCCCCTGTAAGAATAACTAACGGTAGAGAGAGAGCGGGCTTCTTCTGAGTGGTCAAAGACAGCTGGGGATCCAGAGGTAACAGTTTTCCTTTCATTAAAGTCATTTATAGGGAAATGGAACTTTGAAACTTAACTGAGGAAACTGACCCTCATAACTGAATCCAGAGAGTTATGCCTGAGGTGCTTCTACAGAATGTCAGGAGAGACAGAATGGAATCACTTACAAAAGAGAATCAGTTCGATTTTCTTAATTTCTCAATAAAATGTGATAGTTGTTCAATGTCTTCAGATGGTGATAGAGGTGATTGTAATGTTGGTACTGGGACTGGTGGGCATGGGGATGATAAAAAGGAGCCACTGTGGAGCGCTGAGGGTGAGTGCGGCTTGTTGGGAGGCATCAGGTTGATAGAAAGGAGCCACTGTGGAGCGCTGAGGAAGGATGC